AGCTTCTTGGAGAAGCTAAAAGGGTCAAGCTTCCTCAAGAAGCTAAAAAAAAGGTTCAAAAGGTCAAGCTTGTTGGAGAAGCTAAAAAGGTTCAAGCTTCCTCAAGAAGCTAAAAAAAAGTTCAAAATGGTCAAGCTTCTTGGAGAAGCTAAAAAGGTTCAACCTTTCTCAAGAAGCTAAAAAAAGGTTCAAGAGGGTCAAGCTCCCTCAAAAAAGGTCTCGGCTAGGAAAAGTGGCCGATTGATCAGAAACAGTGGCCGGCCGACCAAACACAATGCCGACCGACCATAAATAGTGCCGACCGGCCATCACCAATGGCCGGTGGCAAGGAAACAAGGCCGGTGGCCTCAGCCATGGCCGGTGAGGTGTGGGATGGCCTACAAGCTATTTCCCACCCTCAGAAGCAAAATAACAAGTGTTTGGTGCAAAACCAGACACAAAACAGTCGAGTCGAGAGATCGTGAGGCAGGGCGCGTAACCGAGACCTCGAGAACTCAAGACGAACACGAACAAAGATGATCACCGAGTGTTCAAACGATGACGTCCAAGTCTTGAGGACGGTCAAAAATGGGGTGTCTACAATCGGCTAAAGAGTGGTTGGCTAGTAAGGTCAGTCAGATAACACAGTCATTACAGGTACAAGCATACAACTCAAAGCAGAATAATAGTTAGCACAAAGAAGATGATTCTCATTAATCAAGTTCAAAGAAATTACAAAGGGGGGGCCATAGCCCGGTTACAAGTCAAAGCAAAAAGAAGAAAAAGAAAAAAATACAAATTAATTAAAAAGGTCTTCAAGATCGGCTTCAATATCAACCTGAACACCGGTTGCAGATGGAAGATCAATCTCAGTAGCAACTGGCAGCACGTGTCATTCGGCGGCTCAAAGTTAGGTCTTCAAACATTGGCTCCAACCTGAGTGGTTGACCGTTGCCTTGCTCGTTGACTACCGGAGTGTCAGTTGGCTCATTCTCTTTCATCATCGTCGTCAGACGCTTCAAGGAATTGCTTCTGTAGATCGGCTGCATACTCCGCCAATGTGGCCGGAATAAAATACTGAAGAGCATTGAAGACCTCGGTGTCGGGACCGCAACCGAGCTGCTCCACGGTACCCCTCCAGCCGCACTTGAAGAACAAATCCTTCGCAGCTTCACACTACTGGATGTATGCAGCTTCGCCTTCCTTGAAGCCCTTCACCTCGACATCTTCAGCCTTCTTCTTCAAAACGTTTATTTCGGCGCCCTTGACACCCTCAAGTTTCCCAGTTCCCGCAAATACTTATCTTTCATCTCAGTTAGGGCTCTCTGTCAGTCAGCATCGGCCGAAGCAACTAGGCCGGTCAGATGAGTCACCTCGGCCTCCAGCTCGGCCGTTTTCACTTGTTCTTGTTTGAGCTCAGGGTTTTGGCTTCGGCCTCTGCCATGGCCTCCCTTGACGTTCTCCTGAGCTCCAACACCCGCTTGTGTGCAATGTGGTTCTTCTGAATGGCCTGCAATAGAATAGAAACTTTCCTTTTTAGCCGAGCTGAAAGTAGAAAGAATTAGAGAGGAACAAAAGCAAAAGAGAGTGCTACCTACCAGGATCATGGATTTTGTTGAAGACCGGATGGCCTTCAGCTCGGTGTTTAGCTGATTGTGGTGCTCCATGTCCTTTGGAAGGCACACACTTTTGGCAAGTTGAAGGCCAGTATGTGATCCTTCTCAGCAACCACCGAATCAGTTTCCTCAATATCTCGGTTCTGATAATGAGCTTCGGTGCCACTTGGAGGTAGCTCGGTCAGATGGCTCTGGGTGCGGACTCGGTGGGTGGCTCGGTGGTAGGGTTGTTTCGTCTTCATTAACTAACCGTTGTTCGGTCTGCGTAGTCTGGGCGCGTTTAGGTCGGCGTGATGAAGGAAGCTGTTGAGAAGGAAGGCCACCGCGGTCTCTTGAGTTTGGTTTAGCGGTGGTACCTCGGCCCTGTTTGTCTCGGTCAAGAGGGCCTTGACTCTGTTTCTCTTGGCCATTTCTTCTTCAACGGTCAGTGGGATTAGTCTAATTTGTGGCAAGGTTGGGTCCGGTTCGGGGGCCTCCTCTAGCAGAAAGGTCGGTCACTCTCGCTTTTTGGCGGCCGCTGTATCTGTATGTCGGTTCAAAAATAAAGCTTGGCCCAACTCCGTTCTGGGTACCGTAGTGCGGCGCGGAGAGTGCCTAGATTGGGGTAGCTGTAAAGTGATTGAAGATGGGCTGAATCTGCATAAAGAAGGCAAACTGTTAGTTCGATTCAGGAGCAGGTAACCGAAATAAAGTAAAGCATACCAAAAACCGAAGTAATTATACCAGGTACTCCTTTATTCGGCCAGGGATTTGGGCTTGCTGGTCTTCAAAATTGCCAGACACCCAGAAAAAGTCATCATCGTTTAAGTCCTTATCCGCGTATCTTTATTATTTTTTCTCTGATGGCGTTCCTAAGGTAGTAGACCCAGCCGTCATCTTTGGAACAATGGAGTGTTGGTGGAATATTTCGGCTAGACCGAGGTTAAGACCGGCTAGGCGGTTTAGTTCGGATATACCCATTATTATACGATAAGAATTGGTGGAAAGTTGAGTTGGGCTTATTCTGGTTTGTCTTAGAAATTCACAAATCAAGGGTTGAACGGGAATCTTAGTCCGGTTTCCATGGTTTGATAGGAGGGTGAAAGGTACATAGCCCTGTTTTCCCCATGAAAGGGTATCTTGTTCGGCCAGAATAAGCTGGACGTCGTCAGGGATGTTTGTAATCCCTTCGGAATTCGGCCAAGCACCAGGGGTTTCTACCAAAAACCTATACTTCCCCATTTATTTTTTTAAATTATGGATGAATTAGTTCGGTCGCAAAATTGTGCTCAGTAGTAGCCGGCTGGCGCCGCAGTGGAGTGCCTGGGCAACCTAAGTCTGCAAAGTGGAAAACAAAGGGGTTAAGCGCAGGTCATTGGACCGTGCTACAAAATAAAAGCAAGAATAGGAGTCCTACTTCGGGTGTGTGGGATGCTATAGGTTCTATCTCGGTTTCAACAAGATGCTTAGTAGCTTAGATTAAGCAGGCGGTTCGATAGCTCGGTCTTGGCAAAGCGATTCGCTATTCGGTTAAAGAGAAGGCTCAGTCAGACGGTTA